ATCCCACACATCGTTTCTCGCGTGTCGTCCATCGCGAAAGAGTAGATGATAGTCTTGGCCGTGAAAGGGGAAGCACAAGAGGACCAGACTTTCGTTCCACTACTGCGTCAAATCCATGCTACAGCACATCGTTGGCTGTACTCGTACTCACCATTCGTCGTCGTTGGTCTATGCAGCACCTCTCAATTGCGCGATCGCATGATGAGAAGGTCGTATCGTTAGCTCTCCACGAGCTGTGCACATATGTTCGTTCGTTGTTGTTGCCGCTGCATATCGTTTGAGCAACGTTTTCCCAGCGGGTCGACCCACGTCATTTGCCATTCGACACTTGTGTAATTTAAGCCTTGCAAGCAACCGTCTTTCACATGTGCAATGTCAAATTATTTTTCGTTGCTGGATGTTCGTTACGTGCAACTACCAAGCAGTTCACGGCGTTGTCTCAAGGTACCACTGTACAGTTTTTTTACACTATCGGTGCAAGACGCGAACCGGAGTGATGTTTTTTTCTGCACATACGTCGTTCGTCGTACGGTAGATCACATGTTGCCTTCAGCGCCAAGGCGGACTGAAATTACATTTTCGTACACCTTTCGTCATCTGTGTAGTATTCGTTCGTCGTACGGGAATAGTTGCCAAAATTCCTGAATTGCTCTCGTGCAAGCTGTGGTGGTGACTGCGCTATGTACGATCGATGCTCGGATGAGATATTTTGGTGACACGTTCCAAATTTCATAACTACAAAACACAAAGCGTTCGTTGAATGATGGCAGTCGCCGTACGTTTCGGCCCAAGTCATTCAACTCATGTTTTTCATCAGTACTTCACAATTTCATACAATCTGAGGTATTTATGTCNGCACGTTTCGGCCCAAGTCATTTAACTCATGTTTTTCATCAGTACTTCACAATTTCATACAATCTGAGGTTTTTATGTCATTCTCGTATCTTTCAATCCGGATTCAGGCCCCGAGATCGAAGATAGGGGGGTGATGTGAATGCCATCTCAGACTGTCGTAGATTGTGACGTCAGATGACCTGTCGGAGATCTACCTTCGGGGTGTTACCACAGATAGGCAGTGCAGCTTGGATGCTGAACCTTGCTTCAACACAAGGTTGATCCCCACCTGCCTCACACACACTGGCACTGGATTCGAAGCAGACCAACGTCCCCGACAAGCGCTTTTCTGGCAATCGGAAAGAACAAGTAAACTCCGCCCCCTTACCCGCCCCCACACAGAGAGCTGGTAGCGCCTGCACCACCTGCAACAGCAGCGTACAGTCGTTTGTGTCGCAACCAACATTCAACCTCAAACCTACGCTTGTCGGACTACCAACTCTGGATGCAGTTGGAACCAATGAAGTTCTCAGTTGGAGTGTGCGTCTCTGTGGCGGTGTAGGCTTGAACGGCATTTACATTTCTCAGTATCTTGTATTTCTCATGGACGGAGTAGATGAAGGAAGACACGGAGTCGTCCTTGGCATGACGATGGATGATACTACAGTACTGAGAAACTTGAATTAACTTCAAACCTACGCTTGTCGGACTAGCAACTCTGGATGGAGTTGGAACCAATGAAGTTCTCACTTGGAGTGTGCGTCTCTGTGGCGTTGTAGTTCTCAGCGACCTGGCGTCCCAACGCCCCCTACTCCTGCCATTGGTACACAGACCGCAACAGTTATGCGCCTTTCCCCGCATGGAAAACCTGGCCTCTCCCAAGTGCTAGAAACTGCTACAGCTTCTCCGGCAAATTCATCAGCTTGCGCCGGTGATACTGCAGACTGGCCGTGCTAAGGGCCTTGGTGAGGAGGTCCGCGTGTTGCTCCGTTGTCAGGACAAATTTGACCGAAATATCCCCCGAGTTTGTTGCGTATATTGTTCTACAATGGAAAGCACTTTCAACCTCAGGCGCGGTTATCAAGTATATATACCAAGCAAAGTTCTGCTGCCAAAAAAGGGTCACGAGGATACTCGGGGCTATTTGCACAACTTATAACTGGTCGAGAACGGCATGTTCCAGCAGAGGCGACTTTGTCAAAGGTGGTCCATGTTGAGACGAAAAAACACCCCCTCTTTTGGCAAAATTAAGTGTAAGCAAGTGTAGATTTCTCCAAAGCCAGGAAGATGTATACCAGTCCCATGCTAATAAACGTTACTCATGGGTGTTCTAAGCAAGGCCGTACGAAAGACATCACCGAACACGTGTACGCCGGTGCCCCTAGAGGCCGAAATACCACTCGCCCTCGACACACCCGCTTCTTTAAGAAGCCCTAACCGGCATTATTGCGATTTTGCTCACAAGCAAGCTCAGTCTGATATCACGAGAAACAAATGGCTCTCCTACAGTACTCCTATTAATAGGACTGTTTTTTTACCCAAGTTCTACTCTCGCACTTTTGACGCACACCCGGGGAGGAGGGTCATAACCGCTAGTGACATCACCAGAATTTGGTTCAGCTCTGTGCATGGAAAAAGGGTTGATGCGCCGAGGTAGAACAACGAAGCTGCATGGCACATCATGGAATGTTAGTATTCGTGAAAGCGGTCTACTACTGCTGTACACCGTCATGTAGCTCTATAAAGCCCTTCAGAAAACGAACGCGAAGGCCCCCTTGCTGTTGAGTTGAATGGTTGTTCAGATGCCCGAACGAACATAGATCTTTCCGACTTCCATGAATAAACATCTGCTCCGTCACCAGTGCAGGGACTACGCCATGCGGGGTAATACTTCAAAATACGAAATGGGAGTCGCGTTCCTTCGCTGTTTGTGATTCGACGACGTCGTGCATTCATGCTCACATGTGCGAACCAACGCAGATAAAGCTCGACACTCGACATCGATCGACCTTACAACTAATAAGGCTTTCACGTGCGACTGCGTTGCTTTCTGCAATAGCGACACTTCACTCTCGATTCGGCCCAAGAGATGCTCGGGTCTTAACCTCCTGCACCTACAGTCGTGCTTGCATGGTTTTTTGGTCTGCTGTGGGAACGGAGTAACAGCTACACAGGTGAAATTCCAACATAGAGTAAACCGCCCAGTTAACGAACGCTGAAGCCAACCCTCGCGCCAACAGCTCATTCTCGGGCGTGAAAAGGATTATGAAATATTTGTAGATATCGGACGATAGGATATGTCGTAGGCTACCTCTATGAGACTGTTGTCTCCAGGTTCGCGTGTGAGCAAGTTCCCTTAGTGATGGGCAATTTCGGCTCGGATAAGAACAGCTATTGTAAGCTCTGTCGAAAGGAGGTCTTCATTGGGCACCAATGGCTTCGCTATGATGGTTTGATGTACGAATCGATCAAGGTCCTACGTCCACTCTTTCTCGCTACTCTGATGTATCAAATCTCTCGTTCTGTTAGCCAGATCCTGCGGCCGCTGAGGTGCTCCTCGGGAACGCCCCCTGTCCTCCGACTTGCTTACACATTTCAACTCAATGGTGACCCTGAGCGAATCGTGCGACAGGTCTTTCATCACATCAGTCCGCCTGCTGATTGAGGATTTCTATGGCCGAGATCCCACACACATTGCTCGCGCCTACTCACGCCGTGCGAGATTCTAGTGACTCGCCGGTGGTCGCGTGAGATACGCACACATCCACGACAGAAGATATCGCACCATTGTGGAAGATGGCCACGTCCGCCGAGTAATTTTTTTTCGCGTCGTAGCGACAATCCTGTTGCGCGGAAGAGTCAGCGTACTCACGCGCTATCACATGCCTTTCTGTAACACACGTGCCCTTGAAAATGAGGCGCGAATAGTACTTCTCGATTACCAATTTTCTTCTTGTAAAGTGCCGATTCTCCGCCTCCGGAACCGTCGGGCGACAGGAGGTGGTGCGCGAAGTGGAACACTCTGATCTTGCCCTGTTTCCGCACCAACGCACCCGCACATTCTAGGCACGTGAATGGGCCCTCGGCCTTGGAGCAGAAGGGCACAACTCGCACACCCATCTCCTCTACGCGACCGAGTACGCGACGGGATATGTTTCGGGTCGGAAAATGGAGCACCTACGATTATGCGAAATACCGACTATCCCGAATGGTGCTTAGTGGCGGCGCATTTGGACCTTTCTACCCTTTTTTTAACCCTTGATTTCTACTTCATTACCTCTTTCCTACCACGTGTTTCCTCGTGGCCCACCGTGGCGTATATTCTTACTTACATCTTGGACACCCCGTTAAGGGGGTTCTTCATCGGCTTACAGGCGGGAGAATATATGTGTCTTCATCTTGGCGATGGGTGATGTATACCATGCCTTTCAGGTGTGTATCCCAGACTTTTTCCGTCTTTCAGAAAAAAGGCGTCAAGATGGTCCACGGAGGGATTCGACTCCCGGTTGTACTTTTGTTAGAGATACAACATATCCACTGTGAGAAAAACAGTCAGCGCTGACTGTTTAGCTCAGTGGATATATATGTTGTATCTAAGGTTACCTCAGTTTTGCTACAGAATGTATATGACACATTGTCGCTGACGCCGTTGCATTCACCCGGTACCCGCGAAGGCCGCTACTACCTTGCAATAAGCAAGACCTATGTCCATATATAAAAACAACAACAATGACTACACGCAACGAACACAGACACATACACGCATATAGATCTCGTCCAAGTCTGTCGAACAACGTAAAGGGGAATACTTCTTCTCTCTACTGGCATCACACAATGCCAAGATCGGCAACCTGGCTTCGGTGCACTGAAAGGGCGTGGTCATACAAAAGAATGTCTAGCCAAATGAACTTTTTCAACTCTGGGCTGTGCCAGGCGGCCTTCAGCGCGCTCTTTGAGGCGGTTTCGAACTGCGAACCCCCACTGTTTTTTTTGCCCGACTTCTGAAACTCCTTGACCCAATCGAACCGCCGCAGATTCAGCACCCTGTTGAAGAGCTCCATGCTGTTGTCCCACTCCTCAATAATCCCCACTGCGGCGTACCGGGTGCTCAGAGTCTCCTGCGCGCTCGAAAGGAACTGAGCTAGTCCAGACTCTGGTTGTGTCGGCCCACAAAAATCGTCTTGGTGTGGCAGGTGCAGATAATGCTTTTGCCGGTACCATGCCGGGATGCAAACATCCCCGTGGCCGCGCGCTTGCTGGCAAAACTCGCTGACGACCTCGTTGTGAAACACGTCTTCTGCCTTGATGGAAGCCAGTGCGAATTGCCGCAGACCGTAGTTGCCCCAATGCTCGGCGAACGTGAGGAGGTCGACCTTGCTCGCATCCAGCACTACTGCCGCGCACAGCTGGTCGTGATGGGCCCTTTGGCAGTAAAAGTACGCGCTCACGACACGGGAGACAGGGCTGGAAAAAGCGAAACAACACGGTCGGGGATGGAGACAACGTGCAATAATTAGTATCTGTGGTTTATTGCAAACATGAAGGGTGGTGCTTCAATTGAGCTGTCTTAATAGATAGAACCACGCGCTACGATGTCGTACAGCAATTTTATTGTAGAGTGAGATCGAGATGAGCTCGTTGGAATCGAAACGAAAAGGCTGGTCGTAGGTATGTATGTATGTACTTCCTCTGTCACATAAGTAAAGTCCGTTATGATTACACGGCCATTTAGCCGTGTCCGATGTCTTAGGCGATACTTTTTTTGAAATCTTGAGCGTTTTTCGGGTTGAAACCCATATTTCTTTTTATTTCTTGCGCACTACCCTGCATGCACTAGCGGCTTACAAAAAAGTAGTCAGGCCAAAAAAGGCCGTATTTTGCCCCTTTCCATGAGGGTGGGGGTGGGGGCACGAAACGAACCATACCAAAAAAAGACAAGAATTATCCCGAACCCTAAACCCAAGGTTACCTCTACTGAACGATCCATTTCGCGTCCTCCCATACAAACACCAACAAAGTAGTGAACCCACACTAAAATCAATACATTTTCGAGTCCCACACTAAAACCAAGACACTTGGGGGCCTAGAAAGCCCTTGGGTACCCTTTCTTTGCCCGGCGGAATCGCCAACGCTATCTCCACCGCCATGGCGTACCGACGACCCAACGATACTTCCGCACCCCGCTTACGACGTGGGGGTGTCTGGGCGTCGTCCCCCATGATAGCTACGTCGTTGTGGTGGTAGTGGGTGCTCACACAGCACAAAGCTGCAAATATTCTTTAAAATATTCTCAAAATGTTTTCAAAATATTCCCAAAATATTCGCAAAATAGTCCCGTATTTGACACACTAATTCTCAGTAATTGTGAGTCGGATTTTTTTTTTTTAAGTTATGTGCGTAACAAGCGCTTTCCTACAAACCTAACTAATAGAGCTTCAGGAACACCTTGGCTGGTGAGGTATGTCAGTTCCCCCATAACGGACTTTACTTATGTGACAGAGGAAGTATGGGTTTTTCATTCTAATCGCAATAAACAGTACCACACATGGAGCCGAAAGGCCTTTTTTGAACTGGTCGTCGGTTCGATACTCACTGTCGGAAAACGGTAAACCACTTGCAGTCCCGATCGTCGTACATCCGGAGTCCTTCGGTATACCCGCCGTAAGTAAACACTGCGTTTTCCTTGACAAAGGTTTCCGCGTAGCTCCGGCCGGAGGACCACTCTATGTCGTCGAACAATGCAGTTGACACGCCCTTCTCCGTTAAAAAGGGCATGATCATCTTCCGGACAGTCATGCCGCCTGACTTATTCATGTGGCTGAACACCCAGCAGTCGCACTTCGAGGTCGGTTTCAACTCTTGTGCGCCTTGCACTGGGTTGGTGCTGTTCATGGCTATCGACGAGGAGGCCCCTAAACTGATCACGACCATGCCCAGGACCGCCTGAAGGGGGATGATGCATCGCGCCCAGCTCCGGTAGTTCATTGGTGGTCCAGAGCTCCCCTAGAAGTGGGCAACAAGACATCCGTCGTCAGGCTATGTATAGAAAAGAATTCAAGCAGAGTAGGTGGAAAACGAATCGCCTCGCAGACCTCGCGGATTATGTACGTACACGCTGTGCTGATTGTATCTGTCTTGGTAACTTACTGGCTTCGCCAAAGGAGATAGGCTCCGAGAGAGCGATTTGGCGACGAAGGGGTGAGGATTGGTTGCCCCCCCCTGCGAGAAAAAAAGCATAGACCTGCACCTTGAATGCAACGAAGGAGAAAGCCTGGACACGGCCTATGGCCCGACCAGATTCTCCGCTTTCATGGGACCCCGGGCTAATATGTACTCCGGAAAATGTCGCACGAGGTGTCTTAGGATGCGTCGTTTGCATGTGCATTATAAAGTAGCTAATGGGACGACACACACACACAGTGTATGTGTTGCTATTTTGTTTGAGTCATCTAGCTGCTGACACGATGACTGTTGGATCTTGGGAGTGTACGATTATCAATTGGAAGATGCAGCATACCACGATATCCTGGCTTCGGCTGGGCTTGAAATAACCCTTTTGCTGTCCTCCACTCTTTGCATCAGTGGCTTCCTAGATTCGAGCGAGGGCATTTGTGTAGCTGAGATGTGTGTCTATGTGAACGAAGATGTACAGAGAATCGTATTGGCATTCGCATCAAGCGCATTGCGCATTTTTCGAATTTTGGCCTCCTTCCAGGGACCTTGATTTTTACCCGCTGGCACTGACGTCTTTTAATTGGTCAGCCGGTTAGCGCGGTCGATGCTAATAATAAAAANGGCAGGCTAAGAACACATAAGTGGCTCCATCCATCTCACAGCCTACATCTGGCAGACAGTGCCTTCGACCCTTCGACGGCGGTGGTATCTCCTTCACTCACGGAATCACAACGGATGGGTACAACCTGGATTTCCTGTTACTACTACACAGCAGCACAGTACTACTGCGGCGGATGCGGATACTGGATTCCTGGAGGTGTTCACTTGAAGGAAAGCCAAGAGAACCTGCGAGCAGGACTTGTCTCCCTCGTGACTTCCAAGTGGCTTGCTAGGTTCGGACGAGGGCATGTGTGGAGCTATGGCCGTGTATGTGTTGCTATTCTGTTTGAGTCATCTAGCTGCTGACACGATGACTGTTGGATCTTGGGAGTGTACGATTATCAAACTGGGAGATGCAGCATACCACGAAATCATGGCTTCGGCTGGGCTTGAAATTACCCTTTTTGCTGTCCTCCGTTCTTTGCATCAGTGTCTTCCTAGGTTCGGACGACGGCATGTGTGGAGCTATGGCCGTGTATGTGTTGC